GCGGTGGTGAATTATTGAAGGTGCGAGGGATCACCTGAAGATTTGCCTCCCGTACTACTACAACTACTACTACTACTTTACTTTGTACTACTACTAACACACACATACACACACACACACCCACCCACCCACCCACCCACCCAACCACACAACCACCCACCCCCTCCACACACACACCACACACCACCTCCCTCCACTTTCCAGTCATCGTTAGTAAGTGTTTCAGAAGCTGTCAACACTGTGGTATAAACAAAGGTAACCTGGCACCCGCTGGCACCCGTTGGCACCTGTTGGCACCCGTTGGCACCTCCATAGAGTGTCCCCTACACTGCCTTGCTATGCCACAGACACCCGGCACAGTGGATCTTATTTGTTCTGGTCGGAGAATGAGTTGAGAGAGAGAGAGAGAGAGAGAGAGAGAGAGAGAGAGAGAGAGAGAGAGAGAGAGAGAGAGAGAGAGAGAGGTTAGTCGACTCCTGCACTGACAATTATTATAAGAAACCTTTGAACATGACATCACGGACGAGAAGAGAATGGAGGTGGAGGGAGGTGGGGGAGGAGGTGGAGGAGTTGGAGGTGGGGTAGGGAGGAGGTGGAGGAGTTGGAGGTGGGGTAGGAGGAGGAGGTGGAGGTGGGGTAGGAGGAGGTGGAGGAGTTGGAGGTGGGGTAGGAGGAGGAGGTGGAGGTGGAGGTGGAGGAGGAGGAGTTGGAGGAGGTGCCGCTTGAGACTGAGGATGGTGACTCCCCCTCAACCACTACCCCCACTACTACAATCACCCCCTACCACCACCCTCACTACCACAATCGTCTCTTACCACCATCCTCACCCCCTACCACCACCCTCACTACCACACAATCGTCTCTACCACCATCCTCACCCCCTACCACTACCCCCACTGCTACAATCACCCCCTACCACCACCCTCACTACCACAATCGTCTCTTACCATCATCCTCACCCCCTACCACCACCCTCACTACCACACCGTAAGTAAACAAACATTCTGGCGTCTTTAAGGAACCACAACAACAATTCCTTAGCTCGTGTGCCAACTATGACGTAACAGATGCCTGATTCTTGGCCCTCTCTCTCTTAACTGACATGACTAATAATGATACTCGCACGTGAGGGATTAATTTTATTTTACGTACGCGGCTTAAGAGTTGATAATGTTTATATCTTAGTTAGGTTAGTGTTTGGTTAGTGTTAGGTTAGGTTAGGTTAGGTTAGGTTAGGTTAGGTTAGGTTAGGTTAGTGTTTGGTTAGTGTTAGGTTAGGTTAGGTTAGGTTAGGTTAATCATCAGGTGATATAAGCTAGGCTGTTAATCCTTAAGTGATCCATTAGTTTCTACTCATTATCCCATTATGTAAATCAGAGTGTTTAGGTTTTATTATTAAAGGGTGATACTGGTGTGTGTGTGTGTGTGTGTGTGTGTGTGTGTGTGTGTGTGTGTGTGTGTGTGTGTGTGTGTGTGTGTGTTATTTGTTTATCTGTATATGTGTATGTGTTTATTTTGTCTGTATGTGTTTGTGTGTATGTGTATTATGTTTGTGTGTATTTGTCTTTGTTTGTGTGTGTGTAAATAATAATAATAATAATAATAATAATTAACGGTTTATTGAAAGAGCATGGCAGCCAGAAGATTAAAAATATACAGTTACATAATTAGGGAATGGGTCTCTTGATTGACAAATAATATTACAAGTAACATAAATGATACAAATATGATATATAATAACTAGGTGGGGAGAAGGTCATACTACAGGGCATTTCAACATAGTGACAGTGCAAAAAGTAAGATTGACTGGGAGTGAATACACTGGTTGATTACAAGTTAATGATAATATTTACAATGGTTGGGACTGGGCTGTTCTTATAGCGATCAGTAAGTGCTCGTATGGGCTGGTGTGTGTATATAGATCCTGAGGTGTGGAGTGGGACATGACTTCCTTATCTGCCCTGGGATTGGCTGGTCGTTTCTCGAAGACCAGCTCATTTAAAAACTCGGGCACCTGCTTACGTCAGCTTCTCCACACGCCCAGACCAGGAAGCCCATTGAGAAGTTAGTCTGTATCATTTCGGTGTGGTGTCAGAGTGCCCATAACTCACCTGAACCATTTTAGAATTCATTAACCTCAAAAATCATTATAGATAGAACACGTCGGTTTTATTATACTTGAAAAACTCATAAGTCTTTCTTTTATTGTGTTAGTAGACTCCCAGATGTGCACTGTGTTCTGGGTATAATATTTATGAGGTTAATAAATTTTAAAATGGATCATAATTTATGGACACACTGTACAGTATATCCTGGCATTATTTTGAAGGTGTCCGCCGTGCGCCTCGGTACACTGTTGATGGCATCTTCAGCGCCCTGGGACGGTCTCCATAACTCAAGGTTTACAGACCAGGTACCAATTCCGTCGCCATTCTCTGAACATTCTCGATTGTATTGATGTCTTCCATCTTGTGGGGGCCGCCATACTGCACTGGTGTGTTGTAAGTGTGGTCGCTCCAGGACCTTGTACAGCCATCTGACGTTTCCTACATCTGGGTGAGTGATGGTCACCTTGTTAAGTTGATCGTCCGTAGAATCAGCGTCAGTTTACTGTCAGCTATCACTCGTGGGATCGTTTTCTTCATTCTCGTTCTCCCAAGTCGAATATTTTCCTCCTTGGTGAAATATATATTATTCTGTCCTTCCTGCCGATAGTCGTCACTTTACCTCAGACCTGGATGGAAGCAGGGAGTGTTCAACCATTTCTGGAGGTGGACTTTATTCATTTAACTTTGTCTCTGGTCTTGAGCTGACTGAATATATATCGGGGCACCTTCGCCTCGTCAGCATGGCGGTGACCTTCAGAGGACGCAGCCACGAAATCAATAATATATAAAGCAGAGAGGGTCGGACCTAACACACAACCTTGCAGGATGCCTCTTAATATTACACAGCCCAAGTTCACACCAGAATCCCTTTACCGTTTTCTGTTTTGCCCAAAATAAAGATGACATCCACCGGTGTGTTTCTCCAAACATCGATGCGGGAACTTATCAGATGCCTTTAGATAAACCGTATGAGTCACAGCTCATGGTTCCTCCTTATACATCATCCTCCATACGTCCTCAGTTCAGTCAGTCAATCATGGGGGTCATCCTCAGGTCAGTCAGTCAACCAAGGGGGTCATCCTCAGGTCAGTCAGCTAATCAAGGGGGCCATGGCCATCCATTGGTCTGAGGATTGGCGGCCACAGCCCTCCACCCAAAACGTTTACGGCTCCCCTTACCTGTCCGTCCATAAATACCCCCAAGGACCTACCTGTAGTAATTAACCCACTACTTGAGTTTCAGGGGTCACTGTGTGTACTTTGTATAGCTCACCTGTGTTGAGCAAAAAGTATATTATATAGTTTCGATAAGTTTAGGTAATTCATTTATTATTATTATTATTATTATTATTATTATTATTATTATTATTATTATTATTATTATTATTATTATTATTATTATCATCATCTCCAACACCACCAAGGTCAGCACCATTACCACCATCACCGCCACTATCATCGTCACTTCTACCATCATCACCATCACCACCACCCTCACCATCATCACCGTCACCTTTATCACCACCACCCTCATCATCACCATCACCCTCCTCACCCCTATCACCATCACTGCCCTCCTCACCCCTATCACCATCACCACCCTCCTCACCCCTATCACCATCACCGCCCTCCTCACCCCTATCACCATCACCACCCTCCTCACCCCTATCACCATCATCACCCTCCTCACCCCTATCACCATCACCACCCTCCTCACCCCTATCACCATCACCATCACTCCTCACCCCATCACCACCTCCTCACCATCCATCACCATCATCACATCCTCCTCACACTATCACCATCACCACCCTCCTCACCCCTATCACCATCACCGCCCTCCTCACCCCATCACCATATCACCACCCTCCTCACCATCATCCCTCCTCAACCCCCACCATCTCCACCCTCCCACCCCTATCACCATCACCACCCTCCTCTATCACCATCATCATCCTCACCCCCTATCACCATCACCCCCTCCTCACCCTCATCACCACCCTCACCCCTATCACCATCATCACCCTCCTCACCCCTATCACCATCACCCCTATCACCATCACCCTCCCTCACCCCTATCACCATCATCACCCTCCTCACCCCTATCACCATCTCCACCCTCCTCACCCCTATCACCATCATCACCCTCCTCACCCTATCATCACCATCACCATCCTCCTCCCCCTATCACCATCACCATCCTCCTCACCCCTATCACCATCATCACCCTCCTCACCCCTATCACCATCATCACCCTCCTCACCCCTATCACCCTCCTCACCCCTATCACCATCTCCACCCTCCTCACCCCTATCACCATCTCCACCCTCCTCACCTCTATCACCATCACCGCCCTGTCAAAAGGACCTTGAGGTGTCGAACATATCTGCCCTAACAACCACAAGACTTATAACAATGTCTCACCATGAATGAGTCACACCACCTAGTACTGTTTTCCAAGTTGTCTAAATGATGGTGGTGATAGTGATGGTGGTGGTGTAGGGTGGTGATGAGGGCGATGAGGCATGGTGGTGGGGGTGGACCCTATAAGATGGTCAAGCCGTGAAGGAAACGCCCTCCGAGTCGGTTAATATACACAGGCCAGACACTCAGCTCTTCACCCACTCTAACATTTGTTTGTCTTGTTTGAATTAGTTGGAAGATTCCTTTGTTTGCCATGTCTGTGTGCGTGCACAGAGGCGCGCTAAAACGTGGATGACCTGTAGGACCAAAAACTCTGGTGTTGTGAAGAGAGTGTTGAGGGGGGCGGGAAGGTTGGATAGATCGTGGTGGACAGCGATGGTGTGGGACGGTTGGTGGGGAGGGTGGATCAGCTGAGACTGAGTAGGTGGTCGTGGTGGTGAGTGAGGGTGTGTGTGAGAGTGGTGTGGTGGTACCGTAGCTGGGTCGCCCCTCGCTCAGTTGCTTCTCAGTTGTGCTGGTCGCTAGACAGCGCGTGGATGTGTGGAGACACGGCGTCCTGACGGCTCGCCAAGCGGTATTGGATTTACGTACCAAAGTGATAGTGGAATTTAATGTAAACCCAAGTGTGTCTGAGACCTGTAGTAGAACCAATATACAAACAGGTGTGTATCTCGAGTCACCTAATTAAGACAAATCTTGTTATTGAATGAAACAGAAAGGATAATTGAAGAGCATTTGTCAGTGACGATTGTTGGACACAGGGATAGAGCTGAACGGACTGTAGTGGAGACCCCTCTTGCTCCCTGAATGAATACACCCAACTACAGCTACCGCGCCACACATACCTGGGCACAACACACCGTTAAGTGAAAGTTTTGACCGGAAAGTCAGTGAGTTTGCAGACAGTTCATATTGAAAGACACTGCAACAGTGAAGTCACCAAGGTTTTGAGTTTGCCAGTGATTCCAGCTAAGGGTATATCTTTCTTTAAGGTTTTATTACCCTGTGTACTGTGATAGTTGGTGGATCTGTGAGGTAATCGTGCGTGGAAAGGATTCTGTAAAGCGAGGCACCATCACTGAAACAACACGTGTGGAGCCTGCAACCCCTCCAGTAAGTTATAGTCTCAGTATTCACAGTACAGTATATGAATAGAGGTCTTGTTTACACCATGTACATAACAGCGATCTCTGTCAAGAAGAAATTTTAGTTTTTGTTTTACATTTTCATGTTGATATTATCACAAGGATCACATAACCATTACCCGCACAGTTCTGATCCGGGGATTAAATGTACCTTATTAGGGCAATGTTATTTTTAGCCATTATGTTTCACGTTATCGCGGGACTCACCCAAGGTTCCATTTCTTATTTACTTAGCGAATATTAAAGTAAAAACCCAAATCAACTAGTTTACTTAGCGAATATTGAAGTAAAAAAACAATCAAACAGTTTATTTAGCGAATATTGGAGTAAAAAAACAATCAACTAGTTTACTTAGCGAATATTGAAGTAAAAAAAACAATCAAACAGTTTACTTAGCGAATATTGAAGTAAAAAAAACAATCAAACAGTTTACTTAGCGAATATTGAAGTAAAAAAAACAATGAAATGGAAGAAAAGTTGGCCAATCTTATTACGCCTCCCAGCTCGAACTTTTAAAACAGTTATACTCAAAATATTTTCCAGCATTGGTTGTCGTTGGCAGCTCTGTTGTACAATGGGTTTGAGCTTTATGGATTTGACCTTCCTCGGTGTTGGTCATCACTGGAGGGAATTCTTCATATAAAAGATGCGCTTATGGTGTAATATATGTGTGTGTGTGTACAGTGTTCTCAACATTGAACGTACATTATAATAATTGTTCATAACTGGAATATGTATTAATTCTGGGTAAAGATTGTACTTATCAATAGTGAACGTATTTTATGTGTATTTAATGTGTACGTGAGGCTATTAAGGTTATTTATTTAATGACATCGAAAAGAAGAAAAAAAACATTCAATGTAATTAAGAGTTTCTAGATCTGCCAATTAAGTATGAGGGACGCTTAATGACGACGCTAGTGTGAGGGAATAGAGCAATATGAAGGGGCAGCGTCGCGTGGTGTGGCAATAAAGGTAACTGTTATGACGGGCCACGGACGTTGTGTTGTGTACCCTCATCCTCAAGTTTATATTGGCTGGTTCTTACTGACCTCATCACCACCTGTCAGCTTACTCCCGGTCGACTGTCACTTCACTGTTGCCAGGTGCTGGGGGGCATGTACAGCCTCTTCCACTGTCTCCGAACAGGTGGCGGTGTTGGTCTACTCACTTGTGACTTCGCGAAATACAGCGAAATGTCGAGTTGTTGGAATAAAGGAATCAAGAGTTCTTTGTACGGCTATTGGATTAAGTGTTGTGGTGATTCGTGGAGTAAAGACCGTGGTATATTGGTCAGCCTTGAAGGATGGTAATAAGGCCATTGGTGTGACGCGTTAACTGTACAGCTCTTGGTGAGTCAGCAACACCCGCGGCTGCCGTGTGAATGGCCCCGGCTGATCTCTCTCTCTCTCTCTCTCTCTCTCCTATATGGAACAAGATAACTTAACCTTTGTCGTTTGTCAACATCGACAAGTGTGTGTGTGTAGTGTTGTTCATTTTGCTGGCTAAATAGTGACGGCCATTCGCATCAGTAGTTACTTTTCGTACAAGTTTGGGATATCGTAATGAGTTCAATGGATGTTAACCCGTTGATTAAGACATCTTAACCCTTCTAAGACGGTGAATTTAACCCCTTGAGTACAATTGTCATATGGTTTTAAAAGGTTGTGATCGTCAAAGGATTATGAAGTGGTCGTACCTTAAGGGACATTCATGTTTAATTAGTCTTGACAGTTGGTACACTTACTCCTCTGTTAAGTCCCCATCAGAGAGAGAAGTGTCTGTGTTTGAGAACATTTGTGTAATAGAGAGAGCTGGTGGCAGGAGGCTGGTATGTTGGGTGGAACCTTGACAGCATTCAGGCCAGTGTTGTGAAGAGCCTGGCTGGCCAGCATGAGGGCCAGGCGGTCACTACACACTGGCCAGCATGAGGGCCAAACATCACAACACACTGGCCACCATGAGGGCCAGACATCACAACACTGACCAACATGAGAGCCAAACATCACTACACACTGGCCAGCATGAGGGCCAAACGTCACAACACAATGGTCAGTGCTAATACAGAAAGTGAGCTTGGAGAAGTGGCTGTCTGGTCTGGCCTCACGCAACCTCCAGCTGAAAATGTCACACACACACACACACACACGCAGTTGGGGGCCTTGGAGAGCGAGGGAGGCTTCAGGAACCGTGTTAGCATCAAGGAAGACGTTTATGAGGACCCGCCAAGATTTCCTAAGTCTCCCCCGTTTGTTGTGAAGAGAGTAAAAGGTAAGGGGGCGTGTAATGCAGCAGCTTGTACACATTTTTCCTCTAGGTGGTGTTTGGGCGATCTGTTTGTGTGTTTGTACTCTATAGAAGGAACATCAATACGGTCTGTTTGTTTACCAGTTGGGAGATAGAACACATACCATTTCAACACTCGTCTACGAAACACAAGGTAAAGTTTCTTCACCTTGTAAGTGTAGGAAGTGCAAGCGACGCATTCCCACATTTCTGTCCTTGAATGTTTTTTATTATGTTTTTAAACCGCGGAAGGAGAACGGTTGAATGCTGTCAGTTTGTGTTTATTTTAACTTTGTGAGAAATATTAGAAAATTACCTCACGTGTCAGTTATATTCTCACATCGCTTTTTTTTATTTATTTTTTTTTACCAACACAAAATATTCCTCTCGACTGATGTCTTTGTTGTTCTTGTAAAAAAAAATGCTACTTTGATTCTCTTAAGGGAATATTGTTCTGAGGGAGCCTTAAATTCCCTTCTTCTTACTTCTTTTATTTCATTCAAGCAACAAAAACAACAAAGACTTTTCCTCTCCTATATAACCCAAGCTACACACAGACTCAGGTGATGGAGGGTCAAACACACACACACACACACACACACACACACACACACACACACACACGGACTCCACTGTACGACACCAGGACGATTAGACTCGAACCGTACGGCATTTCAATATTTTGTTTACTTTTGTTTTGTACTCACATATTATACAACACGTGAAGATTAAGCACCCCAGTTTATTTTACCGGAATTAAGCACCCCAGTTTATTTTACCGGAATTAAGCACCCCAGTTTATTTTACCGGGATGGTTAAGCACGTTAACCTAACCTAATACCCACAGGTTGCGTTAGGGTATTTTAACATAAGATGAAATAAACTGAGGTGCTTAATCATCCAGGTAAAATAAACTCGGGTCCTCACGTGAACCTTAATTAGTGACATAAATATTTAACCCATTGCAACATTAGTTTCTTCCGAGTGTTTCCCTGTCTTGTGTTGATGTGTTATTGTTAGCAGTAAACCCCTAGACAGGACAAGCCTTTATTTGTTGAGATCATCACACTTGACTGTAGCAATCATCGTCCCCCTTCCACACGCCCTCGTCACACCAGTTCTCTCTCACACGCCCATCCTTAAATTGTGTGTGTGTGTGTGTGTTAATTCCATAAAAAAATAACTTGAATTATTAACCTCTATACATTAAGAATATTTCAGAACCACTTGAAGAATCTCCGCCCCAGGTGATCAGGTTAGGTTAGGTTAGCATTAGGGTTTACTAATCTTTAGGTGAATTAAGCTGGGGTTAGATTATCGTTAGGGTGGTTAATCTTCGGGGATCGTATCCTAGAATTTTAGAATACGGGTCACCTTCCACCTTAGTCTCTATTGTCACCACTAAATTGTTTATTCATAACTTTAAGCACCACCTAAAGAATCGCCACCTTAGTTTATTTCACCTGGGGAGGTTAATTAGGTGAAATAATCTAGGGTGATCCGTCAGTGTAAGTCATCCTCACCTGACAGTATAGTAGTGTTCACAGGATGTCTCACCTCCGGGTTCTGTTCCTTCCATGGCCGTCATTCAGTGTCATCTCTTTCCTTACGCCGCTGTTATCCTAAGAGCTGAGGTCCTGTTGGGGTTCTGGCCTCCCTCTACCTCACCTCATATGCTCCACTCCTCGCCTTCGTTCTCCTCCCTTCCCCTCGCATCATTTATTCCTTGCCTCACGTAACAGTGGATGTCTCTCCCTCTACACACGTCTTTCCTTCTATATTTAGCTGGTAGTTCATCAGCTTTAGGTATACAAACAAGCTCCCCCCTCCCCCCCTGTAATATCCTCGTGTTAATATTTCCATTCTATAAAGTACTAGTGAGGTGTGTGTGACGAGGATGTACTGTTGTGTATCGCTGCTACTTGAAGGGAAAACAGAAAACAAACATACTCAACCTCCTGTTTGTTTTTGCCTATAAAGTACATTACTAGTACTTTATGGTGCAGGTGAGGGCTAGTTTATTGTGTACCCCATACTTATCCTGTAAGCTGTAGCACAAAAGGGATTACAGAGGTCACAATGGGTGTCTTTAACAGTTGCCAGTGGGTAGGATATTGTGGTACTGAATGTTACTGAGTATTTTTAGTACTACACAGGAGGTGACTTAGGTACTAGGTGTAAAAGGTGAACAGGGATGATATACACCACATCAGTTAACATCCCTATAAGAGCTAAAGTCCTGTGCCTCCCTCCATCATGCCTTACCTCTGGGTCAAACTGTTTATCTTATTTCACTTCGTTTATGTTTAATTGCCAAAGAGAAACTGTTAAGATTAAGAGTCAGGCAGTTAAATCTGACAGTTTTGACCTTTATATCATCAGTGTTTGACGTTAAGGGACTGCCCGCTAAATATCGCCAGTGTCGACGCTCACTACGTAATATCAGGTGTAAATGTAGGTAAGGTAAGACTCGACCCCTGGATTAAGGTCAGCCTCGAGCAACTGCCGTGAGGAGGAGTGTTGGGAGTATGTATTGTAAGATGTTGATAGTACGGTAACCATGACAACCACTAAAGCGTAAACAACCACAACAACATTAGATACACTGGATCACCTCAAGAATATCCACCCCAGCTTATTTCACCTGAATATCCACCCCAGCTTATTTCACCTAAGGCTAAAC